TGAGCAATGTGTGTTAGATAAACCATGACTGACCAGAGTTCATCTCAGCAATACAAGAATTATTTAATGCAGACAGATGTAAAACTGATATGAATAAATTTAAAAAGATAATATATTTTGTTATCCTAATATTTGTTTATCTTTAGTCTTGGTTCATTAAGAATCATTCTTGGGACTTCCCTGGTGGCACAGTGGTTAAGACTCCAGGCTCCCAATGCAGGGGGCCCAGGTTTGATCCCTGGTTAGGGAACTAGATCCCACATGCATGCTGTAACTAAGAGTTTGCATGCCACAACTAAGGAGCCCGCCTGCCGCAATTAAGACCTGGGGCAGCCAAATAAATTTAAATAAATAAATATTTTTTAAAAAAAGAATCATTCTTTGTCATATTGAGGACATTTCCTTTTACTTCTAACCAATAAACATCACATATTTAGGTGAAACTCCAAAGGTTTTTCTAACATGGGTCAAAATAAGACAGTAATTTTTTTCTATTATTACTATTTAACATTACATCATCAACAGATCAAGAAACAAATGAAAGATTTAATTGTGAGAAAGGAGATGTTCTTTTTATTAGTAAATGACAGACTATAAAAACAGAGTCCAGTATAGCCATTATTCAAGAAACTCAAAATAAATATTCTAAAAATTACTCGGGGCTTTAGATGTCTTGGACAAGCTGAATTAGGCAGTTCTGTGATACCTCAGCCTCAGCAATACCTCCTATATTTGATACAAATATGCTAGCAGGAATCTATTAAGAATTTTAAAACTACAGGCTCCAGTAGTAACTACAATGTATTATTTTGAAGAGAGTTTCCCCAAATGGTACATTGTTCTCGTTGAAATGCAGATAGTAAGCAAATAAAGCAAAGAACAGGGTGATAAAAAAAGCTCATAGAGCCTTTGATTGTGCTGTGATTTTGGTCCCTGTTTGTAGAGAGAAGACTAGATTTGGGATCACAATCTTGGTCTGCTACTAGTAAGAGTGAAATTCCACTACTAACTGGTGGTTATGATAGTGAGCAAATTACTTAACCTCTCTGGGCCTCACTTTTATCAACTTTAAAATAATAACATTTGAAAATATCTGAAATCACATGCCATTGTAAAACAATACAGTGATTGTTGGACATTTAGCTTAGAAAAGTAGCATACTATGTTGGAAACTTTGAGTATTTTTTCAGACTATATTGACTGAAATCCTATTCATTTCTACAGATTTGTTTTTCAGGATCATTAAGCTCTGTACAAAATAATATTCCTTTTAACTGTAAATAACTTTTTTTAAAAAATGCAAAGCAATTCATTTTCATTACAGAAGAATTAGGAAATAATGATAAACAAAATAGAGAAAGTTTAAAATACTCATAGTCCTCCTGCATGGAATTAACTGTTATCACCTCAGTGTGTTTTTTTGGTAATCTTGTAATGTATATATGTCTGAAACCAAAAAAGAATCATACTGTGAATACTCCTTCATAACTTGCTTTTTAAAAAAATAATTAATTAATTAATTAAATAAAATAATGGCAATTCCCTGGTGGTCGAGTGGTTAGGACTCTGTTCTTCCACTACTGGGAGCCCAGGTTCTATCCCTGGTCAGGGAACTAAAATCCCACAAGCCACACGGTGCAGCCAAAAACAGAGAAAAGAAAAGAAATAATAAAATTATTAAAATAAAATAATTTAAAAAAACAACTCAAAGTATAATTTACATGCACTTAAATGCCCTCATTTTAACTGTACAATTTGAGTTTTGCCAAATGTTTATATCCATGAAACCACTACTACAATCAAGATTTAAAATCTTTTCATCGCTCCAAAATGTTCCCCTGTGCCCTTTCCAGTCAATTCCCTCCCCATCCCCAGCCTTAGGCAACCAATGAACCTGCTTTCTTTCACTCTAGTTTTCTAGAGTTTCATATAAATGGAAGCATATGATATGTACTTTTTTGTCTGGCTTCTTTCACTCACCATATTATTTTTGAGATTCATTGCATATTATTGCATATATCTGTAGCCTAACCCACTTTTAAATGTTAATATATTACAAATATTAATTTCCATCTAGATTATTTAATAGATGGTCTTATGAAACAAAGTTGGAGTTCTATCTTACTCTTTACATCAAAAGAAATAATAGATGGATCAAAGATTTAAAGTTCTATAAGAAAACTTAGAGAATCTTTTTATCTCAGAGTTGAGAAGAGCTTTCTGACGCAAACGCAGAGCCATTAAAGAAGGGATTGATAAATTTGGCTACATAAAAATAAAGTGCTGCAAGGTAAAAAACAAAAACAAAAGCACACACATAAACCAACTCAAAAATCAGACAACGAACAGGGGAAATATTTGCAACATACACTGTAAAGGGGTAATTTCCTCCTTATATATGAGTTCTACAGACCAGTAAGAAGAAGTGACTACAACAACAACAACAACAAAATGAGCAAAGGATATTGTTCAGAAGAAGAGGAAATATAAATGACTTTTAATTTGGGGAGGACAAAGCCCAACGTCACTGATAAGAGAAGTGCAAGTTAACACTATCATAAGATACTTCTTTTCAGATTCTCAAATATCAAAAAGTTAGGTAACAGCGTTGGTGAGAGTATAGAAGAGGCACTTTCATTTATTATTGGAGTCCCTTGGGGAGGACAATTTGTCAGTATGTTTCAAAATTTTAAATGCATATATTCCTTGAGCAATTCCATTTTTAGGAATTTATCCCAGATACATTCACATGTGTACAAAATGACAAATGTACAGTTACAACATTGTTTCTAACAGCAAAAGATTGGAAACAATGTATATTGATACACTGATAGGTGACATTAGTATTCTTTGATTGTTTGGCTATGTCATAAACTTAATTGTTAAAAAGAAACAGGAATTCTTTTTGCACTGGTATAGAGAAGTTTACAATATATATTAGTAAGTAAAAAAAGGAGTGCAAAACTATGTATATAAAAAACCTCATTTGTGTTAAGTATTCATATGCATATATTAAAAGTATAGATATATGAGTATATGCCTTTAGGATTGCTTGAAATATCTGGAAGGGCACACAGAAAACTGATAAATAGTAGTTATCTTTGAGGGATACAGATGGAAGGAAAACTTAGTTTTCATTGTATTTCTTCTGATGCTTTTTGAATGCAGTACTTATATTACCTTTGCCAAAGAGTGGTCCTGTGTATATATGTGCACACGCTAAACTCCTCAAGGTTTTAAGATCTCGACTTATGTACCTTAAACGCATGAACTGTAAATTTATTTAACCAGTTTACAATGGACATTTAGGTTGTTTTTAATTTTCTGTGATTATAAATAGTATAAGAATGTTCCTGTAATTATTAATGATCCTAAAATTTCCTCATCACAAGACATGGAATCAGCCATTCTCTGAGAACTCCTAGGCCCTTTCAATTGAGAATAGTATTAGAGATCAAAATTTGGGCTCTTGGGGCTAATGGGGACCCACCAGGGTTGTGGTGAGCAGAGTCATGCTGTGCTTTTGGGCTATTTTTAGCAACTGCTGGGAAAAGTATTTCTTTTTAAATACATCTTTTTGCATTGATTTTTTTTCCTATTTTGAATTCCTATCTTATATTCTCTACAACATACCTACTTAAATTTTAACGCCAAATTCAAACTCTTAATTGTATTTTTTTCTCTTTATAATTCTTCTTTTCCTCATCCACCATCATTTGGTAGCCACCATATTATCACACATGATGTTTATGTACCTTTCACAATTTACTGACTGATGTCCTTTGCCCATTTTTCTATTGGGGTGTCCATCATTTTCTTATTACTTAAAAAAGATTTCTTTATATATTAAGAATATTACCCTTCTCTTAAAAGGTTTTTAAATAAAGGTACTTTAAATATAGTTGATATGTTTATACTTATCTTTTCTTTCTCCTCAAGATTGTCAGTTTGTAAACTCACTTTTCATTATTTGTTGTTTTCCTTTGTATAGCTTTAAGTAGTAAATTGCCCTTATGAAGAAACCTAATAAGGCACACACTTCTGTGTGTAACATGTGATTTTTTGAGTGAATGGTCTCCCTAAGACAAGTCCCTTTACTGACAGTGGTGGCCTCATAAGCCAAAGATTAAACTCTCAAGTTAGAGGCATAAACAAAGGACTCTGATTAGTCACCTTCACAAACAGACCATGTGGTATTTCAGTAGGGCTGCCCCAAAGGAATTCTGGTCTTCATAAGCAGCACTACCTTCCATTTATACATGTCTCCAAAAGTAAGTCTGTTATGCTCTATATAAAATTAATTGTCATCAAAGAAGAAGACTAGGAAGCACTAACAGATAGTTCTTTTGTGTTGTCAGTCTGCAACAGACAGTGACTGACTGGATGTATCTAAACTACCTTAAAATTAACTTGTCTAATGATTATACTAGTAGTAGTGGCTATCCTTTGATAAAGCTTCCACGGTAACAGGACCCATCCTAAGTGGTTACTTTTCATTATTTCAGAAGTGGAAATCTTAAGCAACACTTCTTTTTGTAAAGCTTGCTAAATATAACCTGTGAGTCTAGAATATGAAGGTTCTCTTCCTCACATTTGAAGGAAGTATTAGACCTAATACCTTGTTGGATTGTTACGAGAGATGGAAATAGTATCTAACCAAGCCTTGTAGATAGCCGGTGCTTATTAAATGGCAGCTGCTTTTGTTAGGTATACTTTGTCATTTTTGCCATCATAAGCACCTTCAGCCCATTTTTTATCTCCATCCAGCTGCATGTCACACATATCCTGAAAACGGATGTCTGGAAAGTTGACTCATAACCTAACAGTTGTTTCCTATCAGATTTTTCTTTTCTTAAGACTATGGAAATAAGCAATAAGCCTCTTTCCTGATTGTATTTTCTTTCCTTGAACATAGTAATTTTTCATTAGTGGAAGTTCATAGATGATGCATGTAAAGGTTGAGTTCAGTTAATGAATGTTCCAAGGCTACCAGAATAAAGGAGCTAATACATTCCTTTTGTCCATCTCTGCAGATACACCACCACTGCTCTTTGAGGTGTCCTCCCTGGAGAATGCTTTTCAGATTGGAGGCCATCCTTGGCACTACATCATCACACCTAATAAGAAGAAACAAAAAGGAGTTTTCCATATTTGTGCCCTAAAGGACAATTCCTTGGTAAATCAAGGTGGTCAGACTTCAGTAGTAAATTTATATCAGAAATTCTTTATTCTCTACTTCTCTAATAGGTCCACAATCCTAAGAATTACTTTTTTGTTTGTATTGATAATTTGTAAACAACGTAAAGTACAGGAGAGTACAAAGAATATAGCAAACACTTGTATGTGCTACCCAGAATTTGAAACATTAACATTTGAAAATTCTCAGGACACCAAAGATTTATTAGGTTTTTTTGTCCTTACCATCTCCTTGATCCCATTTAAACATCTCTGAAGCTGCATAGTGGGAATCGTTGATGGAATGTATTCAGGCTGCCTCTGAAATTACTGGTGGAATGTGTAGTTGGTTCTGCTTCTTCATGGTTTGTTGCTCTTGGCTCTCTAGAGCAGAACCAGATAGAACTCTGTTGGTCACGGTATAAACACTGAAACACTTTGAGTTTTCAAGGATATTTTAAAGTTATATATGGCAGAATAGAAAGAAAGGGTATATGGCAAGACAAGACAAAAAATTACCCCTTGAGTTAATTTTTCTTTTTAAAAATGACTTAGGCATTGATTTATCATTTAATAAACATTATTGAGGGCTACTGTGTGTCAGACTTGGCTGGGGACACATTCTCTTCCCGCAAGTTGCTTATACTCTCAAAAGAAAGCAAATGTGTAGGGAAATAAGTTGCAGTCCGTTAAGTACAGTGATTGAGATAAGTACAAGAGTGAGTGCACAGAGGAGGGAGGTTCTGTCTTTGTTTTATATTGCTGATTTAGTTTAGTTTATTTCTGGAGCCTCTTGATACATCAAATGAACTTTTTATGAGACAGACTCAGCTTATTCCACATGCTTCTCTTCCAGAATCTTTTTCCATCAGTCACTGTTGGACCCAGTGGCTTTGAGAGTCACAGGTCACCTTTCACCACACCGAAGACGTACACAGTCTTGGGTCCATTTATCTATTTCCTTTGGTGTCATGGCCACCAGGGAACGTGGTGTATATAGTGTGTTCTCGTTTTTTGTTTGTTTGTTTATCTTTTTGCAGGAGCATTCTTCCCTTCCATTTTCTCATTAACCTATCACATGTGGGAGCTCCTGTTTGGCCCAGCCCAGTGACATCCTCTTTTACAAATACGGACTGTTTCCCACAAGTCTGTGGTTTGATTATTCACCTCCCAGCAGTGGACATCCTTCAGCCACCAGGACCTGTCACATCTCTTTTTTGCTGAACTTTTCTATCTAGTCAAACCCTGCACAGTTCACATTCTAGACATTTAGTACATATTCTTCTTATGTAAGAACTGATGATACATATTCTTTTATATGTGTGTACAAAATGGCCTTCAACATCTACATCAAGCATGCCTGTCAAGTATTCTCCTTGTATGATTACTGATTATAACATTTAGTCAGATCTTATTTCAACATATTCATAAATAATTGCTAAATCCAGGGGAGTTTTCCGTCCTTTTGCTGGACAACTTTGTTGAGGTGATATTACCTTAATGATGCATATGTGCATTACCTCCCCACCTGTCAGTCAGAAAAATACATAACCCAAAAACATATATGTAGGCAAACTGAAGAATTCAGAAAATGATTCATAGCTTTCTATTAAACTGAGCTTTAAACTAGCATTTGAGCAAATAATAAAAACTACAGAAGCTGATAATAATGCTGCCTAGTATTTAACACAAAGAGAGATAATGTTTCTTTTGCATGTTGTATTTAGATATTATAATAAAGAGAATAGTCTCCTAAAGAAAGAAAGATATGGGTTTTTTTTTTGTGTGTATATATATATATATATATATATATATATATATATACACATACATACACACACAGCATAAAAAAGTTTTATATTGGGCTTCCCTGGTGGCGCAGTAGTTGAGAGTCCGCCTGCCGATGCAGGGGACACGTGCCCCAGTCTGGGAAGATTCCACATGCCGCGGAGCGGCTAGGCCCGTGAGCCATGGCCGCTGGGCCTGCGCGTCCGAAGCCTGAGCTCCGCAATGGGAGAGGCCACAACAGTGAGAGGCCCACATACTGCAAAAAAAAAAAAAAAAAAAAAGTTAAACGAAGGAGCATTTGGAGCTAATGCCAAAATGTACATTGTTTTAGTGGTTGCAACAAAGATGTTTAATTGTATTGATTTTCTTATATGTAAAATGCAGTAATACCACCATTTCTATTAGAAATCGTTAGGATACTTATAAAAATTCTTAAAAAATTAAAATGCATGTGCTAATTTGATACCTAAAATGTGTTAAATTCCAATTTTTAAAAAAGTATGGCATACAAAGCACTTGTGATGTAACCTCAGCCTACCTCTCCAGTCTCATGGCTGGACACTCTACTTCTCAATTTAATTTTATCTGCTACTCGTGTTTGTGCATATACATGCTAAATGGATCAACACTTCTGTGCTTTTGATTTTGCTATCTCTTCTTTCTAGCCACTTTATTCTCATTTCAAGGCAGAGTTCAGGCTCCTGAAATTCTGCTTACTTGGGTTGGATGCTTGATAATATCCTGTGCATAGCTTGACCACTTTGTTTTCTACACTGCCTTATTCTATTTCTGTTTCTATCTCCCTTCTTGAATATGAGCTTCTTGATGACAAGGATTATGTTTAGTGCCTAGTGTGATACCTTAAACATTGTGTTCTGTCAGTATATGCTAATGGAATTAATAATTTTATATATCAGAAACTTTTATGAGTATCTAATAGGAAAGATGACATCATTTCATTTTACATTGGAAAAATTAAGTTAAGTGACTTGGATAAAGCCAGTGAAGTTAATATATCCATGCTGGTATTAGTCCCCAGTGCTCCTGTGTGTAAGGTAAAACATTTATTACATATGTGATCACATATGGAGGTATCTTTTTCTTTATTTTAATGTCTAAATATACTACTATGAAATCAATCTCTCTACTTACCTTAAGTGCTAAGCAGTATTAGACCGTTTCCTCAGCATTAGAGTTTAACATCTGACTTTTGCAAGGAGATTGTATGACCTATTTGGTTGCATGTTTATTTTTGTGCTATCTACTCTTCTGATTGACAGTTTGTTGAGGATAGGGAAGGGAGAAGGATGTTGTGGGGGACTGCATGTACATAATTATGGCAGAGTTAAATAATGGAAAATCCATGGACTTTGGAGTCTAATCTGCTGTTTATAGGTGCTGAATACTAAGCAAATGATTTATCCTCTTTGTGCATCAGTTTCCTCATCCATAAGATGGGGATAGCAATATATGCTTCAAGTATTGCTGAGATCAAAAGAAATAATGAGTATAAAACATCTAATGCAGTGCCAGACATACATTAGGTGCTTGAGATATGGTAACTTATTATTTGTGAGCTATAATATATAGTGCATGGTGCATCTATGAAATTTCTGAATTTAAATGTTCTGGATTTCTCAAGTTTGAGTGTCCTAATTCAGCCCTAATACACATCCCAGTTCAGCTGGTTAATGTTTTCTCTTCCTTTACTTTTGACTTACTGATCTATCACTGATGCTGGATTGGAAAAATTATTTTATTTTTCCTTAATTTTTATTTTCAATATTTTGTTCCAATTTCAGGCAAAAAACGGGGTCCAAGAAATGGAGTGTTGTTCTCTAGAATCTGACTGGATCTATTTCCATCCTGATGCTTCTGGTAGAATAATACATGTTGGCCCAAATCAGGTCAAGTGAGTATTTTCCTTAGTTACTTTAAAGTTAAAAGTAGCCTTTGGTAGTATTTATTGGCATCTTTATTTTTGCCAGCTAACTACTGAGCAAATTGTGGAAATAATTAACTTTTTGTAGGGTGCTTCCTCAGAGAATGGCATCTAGAAAACCTGACTTTATTCTTTCAACTTCATCATTACTGTTTGTAAATATTACATTTGAGTAAGTTCTTTGTTGGATGATAGATGACGTGTGAGGAAAAGATTACATATTGGTTCATCCTCATCAGGTCTTAATTCATTCTCCAGGATTAATGAGAGAGATGATTTATCTTTGTTCTAAAAGACAGCCTTGCTGCTGGAGAAGCAGCAGGTTGTTTGAAGTAAATATTGTTGTATTTAGTTTACCCACATCTTCCACACAGTTGACCTCTCCTTCCTTGAAACACTCTTCATTTGGCTTCCCTGACACCACAGTGCTCCTGAATATTTTCTTCCCTCTCTGATCTGTCTTTCTTAGTATCCATTCACGTTCTTTATCTTTTTTTTTTTTTTTTTTTTGCTGTATGCGGGCCTCTCACTGTTGTGGCCTCTCCCATTGTGGAGCACAGGCTCCGGACGCACAAGCTCAGCGGCCATGGCTCACGGGCCCAGCCGCTCCATGGCATGTGGGATCTTCCCGGACCAGGGCACGAACCCGTGTCCCCTGCATCGGCAGGCGGACTCTCAACCACTGCGCCACCAGGGAAGCCCACGTTCTTTATCTTCTACTCAGACTTTAAGTCCTCAGGACTTAGACCCTCTTTTCTCACTCTTCGTTCCCTTTCTGCTTGATTCTCCTGTTTATTCCCTTGGTTTTAAAGATCTTGTATACACCAAAACTCCAAAATTTCTCTTAGCACAAACCTCTCATCTAAGTTTATGTCATAAGTCTGGAATCATTCTTGACACTTTCTTACCTTCTTGTCTTTCATCAGTATACGTGTACTTAAACACTCACTTGCATTTTCTCTCCCTCTCTCTCTCTCTCTCTCTCTCACACACACACACACACACACACAGAGACACACACAGACACGCACCATATATCCCATCAATCCAGTTTATTTTTCTACTAAACATTTCTTAAATCTGCCTCTTTCTGCCCTTGGCCACTGTCACCACCTTGGTCAGATCATTGTCATCACTAGCCTAGACTATAATATTTGCCTTCTTACAGGACTCCCAGGGATCTACTTTTTACTCTTTAAGTCTGTTTTCTTCTCAGCAGCTAGAGTGATTTTTAGAAACATTAACAAACACAAAAACCTAACCAAGTGAATTCTGCTTTAACCTTTTTATGACCTCCTATTGCGCTTAAGATAAAGACCAACATACTTAGCTGGTCTAAAAGATTCCTCCCACTCAGTTTACTTCAGTCATGCTGTCTTTTCACAAAGCTAAGGACCTGTTCCCTCTATTTGAAGTCTGTTTCCCCTGCCTGTTTTGCCTAATTTCTATTCATATTTTATGCCCCCTTAAATGTCCCTTTTTCAAAGAGTGCTTCCCTGGCACCCTTCATTAGATTAGCTGCCCCATCATATTTTCACTCTACCCACTATGTAATCTTCTGTAACACCTACAGCAATTTAAATTAATTATTTGTATGATTATCTGTTTGAATATCTAGGTTGAGAATCATGAGCTCCATGACAGGGAAAGAGTC